CCAAAGTTTCCTCCCTTCATTGGTCCAAAATTTGAAGACTGATTGTTATAATTGCCAAAATCATTGTAGCTTCCACCACCTCCAAAATTGCTTCCTAGAAATGGAAAGAAGGCCTTTATTGATGACCTGAGGACTGAGCTCGTTCTATTTAGTGTTCTGAAACTCCAAACCCTTATAGTTCATTCTCCAAGTAAGGCATTCAGTTAATAATCCAGTATTTACAGGAAGAAAAAGTCAACCCCACTAATGACAAACCGAGTTTTCTCCTTAGTGGTACTCACAAGCAATTTAGACATGCAGGCCTTCTATATTCATGGCCAATGCAGGGATCTCTTGGATATATCAACTAAATGCCTGAATTCCCAAAGGGATTTAGATACTAAATCCAGGTATGGTTTAATCTAATTATCTTAAATTGAAGATACCACTAACCACTCATCCACCTACTTATTTTTTGGGGAGGCGGCCCCAGCTTAAAGCCAGGAGGAGGTAGCACAGCAAGCCTATTTAATGTACCATGCAGTGTACCCACAATGCTTTAAGAGCTGTAAACCCCAACACGGGTATTAAACTCTATGGCTAATCTAGCTATCACACCAAGTACTTGCATCACTGGATACCTACCACTACCACCGCCAAAGCCGCCTCCGCCTCCTCCGTTGTTATAGCTGTCATAGCTGCCACTCCCGCCATAGCCACTGCCCTGGTTTCCATAACCCTGTCCACCACTTCCATAGCCTCTGCTTCCTCCAGAGTAACCAGGGCCGCCTCCTCCATAACCACCTACAAGAATACAAGCCTTCTCAATAAGACAAAAGTATTTAACAATAAAAATCTAAGCATAATGGCTAGTCCTGCTCACAGCATGCGTATTATGGGGCTGGTTGAACTCTTGTCATGCACTAGGTTTAGTCTCTACTACTAGCCTAGTCTAAAGGTACAAGTTGCCAGAAAACTTTGTACTTACGGACTCCTTAAGAAACTTACCATCATTACCAAATCCATTATAGCCATCCCCACTGCCACCATATCCACCACCACCACGGCTGCCACCGAAGCCACCTAGAGGAAACAAAGGCTTTAAACCAGGCTCCAAGTGAATGAATCAAATGCTAACTGTTGTGTAATGAGAACTACATTTGTGTTAAGACCTAAATCCTGGAAACACAAGCCAGCAGTTACCCTGAGTTCCAAAGGCAGTATGAAATCCAAAATAAATACATACCACGACCACTGAAGTTCCCCCCTCGACCAAAATTGTCATTGCCACCAAAACCGCCTCCACGGCCACCACCAAAGTTTCCGGAACCACTTCGACCTTAAGAGATGTTTGGATCATTACATTAGACCAACTTGCAAAAATTCAAACTAGCCTCTATGTATTCTAAGTAAGCAACAGAAATACCTCTTTGGCTGGATGAAGCACTAGCCATCTCCTGCTTTGACAGGGCTTTTCTGACTTCACAGTTGTGGCCGTTCACAGTATGGTATTTCTGAACTTTAAAAAAAAAAAAGTTAAAATTTTAGGACTCAAAACCACTTGAATTCCACAGTCATTAGGAAATCTAACATGGTACTTACTAACAATCTTGTCCACCGAGTCGTGGTCATCAAAAGTGACAAAAGCAAACCCTCTCTTTTTTCCACTGCCTCTGTCAGTCATGATCTCAATCACTTCGATCTTTCCATACTGCTCAAAATAA